CTAGTCCCTTGCTGCCCTCTACTGTCCCCTTTGTTTTGCTGACCTGTTCTATTGTCTTTATTTATAACTTCATGCTGAATGCCTTTTATACATTTACTGTTTCCAACCCTAGTGTTGCAACCTGCTTGTTTCCCACACACACCCATACCTCTATCTTCCATCAGTTTAAAATCATAGGCATTTCACCAATGGCCTTCTCAATCGAGTCTGCAAGTGCTACCACCCCTGCCCCAGAGAGATGTACCCCATCCCTTGCATACATATCATGTTTGCCATAAAGTTGTTCCAGTTGTCAATGAATGGGATTGCAAGTTCCTTGCAGTATCTGTCTAGCCAGCAATTTACACCAATTGCCTAGACAACCATTCATTTCCTACTCCCCTTCTAGGCAAGATGCTACATAGATTGGGATCCCTCCCTCTAGACTTAATGAAATCTATAGCTGACCTGTAACTTATCTAGCAGCTCTTCTCTCCTACCCTTCCCAATATCATTTCCACCAGCACTGAGACAGTAATGGGCTTGTTCCCATTATCTGACATGATATTATCCAGCCTGTTGACAATGTCCCCAACACCAGCTCCAGGGAAGCACACTCTATCTCTCATCTTCTTATTCCTATTACAAAAAGCACGGTCAATATATCTTACCTGAGAGTCACCAACCACAAGAATGCGCTTACCTTCATTAGCAGGGGCAGTAGTACCCTTACCTTCACTGGCCACTGAAGTACATTCATCCTGGAGAACAAGAAGCGATTTCCTACCTTCAGATCTTCACTCTTAATTTTCCTTACTCTGATGCGCCTCCCATTACTGTGAACAACTCGCCACTTGTAGCAGGTGCGGCTGCACCTCACTGCTGGTAGCCATTGCTACCTGCCCAACTACAGCCTCCTCACAGCGAGAGACAGACTGCACCTCACTGCTAGAAGTCTCATTCCCCACAACTCCAGCCACCTCACACTCTCTCCCAGACCCATTGAGGTGGACCTTCAGCCTCCTAATCTCCTCCTGGAGAAGCAAGACCTCCTCCTTCAACTCTCCAACCTCAGTTTTTAAAACACTGCAGAAGCAAGCCATGCTTTGTAACCGTCCACGCTAATCCCCAAAGCAGCTCAGGGTCTGTGACCTCACGTGACGACTGACCACTGACCACTGTGTATATACTCTGAGATATACACACCTCTCAGTGTATATACTCTGAGATATACACACCTCTCAGTGTATATACTCTGAGATATACACACCTCTCAGTGTATATACTCTGAGATATAACACACCTCTCAGTGTATATACTCTGAGATATACACACCTCTCAGTGTATATACTCTGAGATATACACACTTCTCAGTGTATATACTCTGAGATATACACACCCTCAGTGTATATACTCTGAGATATACACACCTCTCAGTGTATATACTCTGAGATATACACACTTCTCAGTGTATATACTCTGAGATATACACACCTCTCAGTGTATATACTCTGAGATATACACACTTCTCAGTGTAATATACTCTGAGATATACACACCTCCTCAGTGTATATACTCTGAGATATTACACACCTCTCAGTGTATATACTCTGAGATATACGCACCTCTCAGTGTATATACTCTGAGATATACACACCTCTCAGTGTATATACTCTGAGATATACACACCTCTCAGTGTATATACTCTGAGATATACACACCTCTCAGTGTATATACTCTGAGAATATACACACCTCTCAGTGTATATACTCTGAGATATACACACCTCTCAGTGTATAACTCTGAGATATACACACCTCTCAGTGTATATACTCTGAGATATACACACCTCTCAGTGTATATACTCTGAGATATACACACTTCTCAGTTAGTATATACTCTGAGATATACACACCCTCTCAGTGTATATACCTGAGATATACACACCTCTCAGTGTATATACTCTGAGATATACACACTTCTCAGTGTATTATACTCTGAGATATACACACCTCTCAGTGTATATACTCTGAGATATACACACTTCTCAGTGTATATACTCTGAGATATACACACCTCTCAGTGTATATACTCTGAGATATACACACCTCTCAGTGTATATACACTAAGATATACACACCTCTCAGTGTATATACACTAAGATATACACACCTCTCAGTGTATATACTCTGAGATATACACACCTCTCAGTGTATATACACTAAGATATACATTTTTGAATGTTTAAGAGCCACTACAAATATTAATTTAAAAATACATAAATAAACAATAAAAATACAAGTACAGAATCCCTCTCACCAAAACAAAACGAAATATATTTAATGTCTTTTCGTCGAAGACTTCGTCCGAGTCTTCATTTTTGCAGTTAACAGTTTATAATTTTGGCTGACAGGATGTTAACGCTGTTCTAGGAAGATCACAGAAGTGGATAACACTGTGTTATATCTTTTTTTTTTTCGCCGGTATTCTCCCGGCCCGGGTCTTTTCCAAGTAGCGGTGACCCGGCCTTGGCTCCCTATCTGGGGAGTGTCTCGAGACTTAAGTCTCCCATGGGAGGAGGTACAAGTACCTCCTCATCTTTGGGACCAAGTGTCCCCAGGCCTAGCCACATTCCCCGCCCTCACGGGGCTCGTAGGGAGAAGCTAGGCCTCTGGTCTGCCATCTACCCCGCCTCAAAGGGGCTCGTGGGGATGGCAGTCTTATGAGCTGCAGATGGTAGCAAGCTCAGGCCTATGTGTTATATCTTGATCAGTTTCATTACAGAGAAGAAAGATACACAGCACTACGTTGCCCAGACAACAGAAGGAAGACAGTTTTCTGAGCACTGGCAAACTTTGCTTCTCAGACTTATTTCCAAAACTCAGTTAGAGATGAGGTCTGATGTAAGAGCTGTAAACCCACATATTCTTGTTGTTCAATCAGCTCTGCTTCCATTGAAGCAACACCCAAGGCAACATACCAGGCAACATACCAGGCAACATACCAGGCAACATACCAGGCAACATACCAGGCAACATCCAAGGCTACATCCCAGGGAACATATCAGACAACATCCCAGGCTACATCCCAGGGAAGATAACAGACAACATCCCAGGCTACATCCCAGGCAATATCTCAGGCAACATCCCAGGCAACATCTCAGGCAACATCCCAGGCTACATCCCAGGCAACATCTCAGGCAACATCCTAGGCTTCATCCCAGGGAACATCCAGGCAACATACCAGACAACATCCCTGGCCACATCCCAGGCAACATCCCAGGCAACATCTCAGGCAACATCCCTGGCCACATCCCAGATAACATCTCAGGCAACATCCCAGGCAACATCACAGGCAACATCCCAGGCAACATCCAAGGCAACATCCAAGGCAACATATAAGGAAACATCCCTGGCTACATTCCAGGCAACAACCCAGGCAACTTCCAAGGCAACATCCCAGGAACATATAAGGAAACATCCCAGGCAACATCCCAGGCAACATCATAGACAATATCTCAGGCACCATCACAGGCTACAACCCAGGCACTATCCCAGGCAACATCCGAGGCAACATCCGAGGCAACATCCCAGGGAACATCACAGGCAACATCCCAGGCTACATTCCAGGTAACATCCCAGGAAACATCCAAGGCAATATCCCAAGCAACATCCCAGGCAACATCCCAGACAACATCCCAGGTTACATCCCAGGAAACAACCCAGGCAACATCCCAGGCAATATCCCAGATAACATCTCAGGCAACATCCCAGGCAACATCACAGGCAACATCCCAGGCAACATCCGAGGAAACATCCCTGGCAATATCCCAGGTAACACCCCAAACAACATCCCAGGCAACATCACAGGCAACATACCAGCCAACATCCCAGGCAACATCCCAGGCAACATCCCAAACAATATCTCCAGGTTGAACCCCAGCCAACATCCCAGGCAACATCCGAGGCAATATCCGACGCGACATCCAAGGCAACATCCGAGGTAATATCCGATGCGACATCCAAGGCAACATCCAAGACAACATCCCAGGCAATATCCGAAGCAACATCCCAGGCAATATCCCAGGCAACATCCGAGGCAACATCCAAGGCAACATCCCAAGCAATGTCCCAGGCAACATCCCAGGCAGTATTCGTGGCAATATCCCAGGAAACATCCTAAGCAACATCCCAGGCAACGCCCAAGGCAACATCTCAGGCAACATCACAGGAAATATCCGTAGCAACATCCGAGGCAACATCCCAGGACACATTCCAGGCAACATCACCCGCAACATTAGAGGCGGCATCCAAGGAAATATCCGAGGCAACATCCCAGGTAACAGAGGCAACATCCCAGGTAACAGAGGCAACATCCCATGCAACATCCCAGGCAGCATACCAGACAACATCCCAGGCAACATCCCAAGCAACATCCCAGGCAACATCCATGGAAATATCCCAGGCAACATCCCAGGCAACATCCCAGGCATCATCAATGGAAATATCCCAGGCAACATCACAGGCAACATCCCAGGCATCGTCCGAAGCAATACCACAGGCAACATCCTAAGCAACATCCCAGGCAACAACCCAAAAAATTACCCAGGAAATTTCTGAAGCAACATCCGAGGCAACATCCCAGGCAACATCCCAGACAACATCCTATGAAACATCCGAGGCAATATCCCAAGCAACATCAAAGGCAACATGCCAGGCAACACCCCAGGCAACATCCCAGGAAACATTACAAGCAACATCCCAAGCAACATCCCAGGCAACATCCCCCGCAACATCAGAGGCAACATCCCAGGCAACATCCCAGGCAGCATCCCAGGCAATAACCGAGGCAACATCCGAGGCAACATCCGAGGCAACATCCTAAGCAACATCCCAGGCAACATCCCAGGCAACATCCGAGGCAACATCCCAGGAAACTTCCGAGGCAACACCCGAGGCAGCATCCGAGGGAACATACGAGGCAACATCCCAGGCAACATCCCAGGCAACTTCCCTGGCAACATCCCAGGCAACATCCCAGGCAACATCCCAGGTTACATTCCAGAGAACATCACAGGCAACATCCTAGGCAATATCCGAAGCAACATCACAGGCAACATCCGAGGCAACATCCCAGGCAATATCCCAGGCAACATACGAGACAACAACTGAGGCAACATCCAAGGCAACATCCCAGGCAATATCCGAAGCAACATCCCAATGAAAATCCCAGGCAACATCCCAGGCATCATCCGAGGTAACACACCAGGCAACATCCTGAGCACAATCCCAGGCAACATCCCGGGAAACATCACAGGCAACATCCCAGGTAACATCCCAGGAAACATCCTAGGCAACATCCCCCGCAAAATCAGAGGGAACATCACAGGGAACATCCCAGGCACAACCCAGGAAACATCAGAGGCAACATAAGAGGCAACATCCGAGGCAACATCCCAAGAAACATCCCATGCAACATAAAAAGTAACATCCCAGGCAACACCCCGGGCAACATCCCAGAAAACATCAGAAGCAACATCCGAGACAACATCGAACGGCAACATCCCAAGCAACATACCAGGAAACATCACAGACAACATCCCAGGCAACATCACAGGCAACATCCCAGGCAATATCATAGGCAACATCCCAGGCAGCATCGTAGGCAACATCCCAAGCAACATCCCAGGCAACATCCGAGGTAACAGCCCAAGCAACAACCGAGGTAACATCCCAGGCAACATCATAGGTAACATCCCAGGCAACATCCCAGGCAACATCCCAGGCAACATCCAAGGCAACATCCAAGGCAACATCCCAGGCATCATCAGAGGCAACATCCCAGGCAACATCCCAAGCAATATCCCAGGCAACATCCCAGGCAATATTCGTGGCAATATCCCAGGAAACATCCTAAGCAACATCCCAGGCAACGTCCCAGGCAACATCCCAGTCAACATCACAGGAAATATCCGAAGCAACATCCGAGGCAGCATCCCAGGACACATTCCAGGCAACATCCCCCGCAACATTAGAGGCAGCATCCAAGAAAATATCCGAGGCAACATCCCAGGTAACATCAGAGGCAACATCCCATGCAACATCCCAGGCAGCATACCAGACAACATCCCAGGCAACATCCCAAGCAACATCCCAGGCAACATCCATGGAAATATCCCAGGCAACATCCCAGGCAACATCCATGGAAATATCCCAGGCAACATCACAGGCAACACCCCAGGCATCGTCCGAGGCAACACCACAGGCAACATTCTAAGCAACATCCCAGGCAACAACCCAAAAAATTTTCCAGGAAATTTCCGAAGAAACATCCGAGGCAACATCCCAGGCAACATCCCAGGCAACATCCCATGAAACATCCGAGGCAATATCCCAGGCAACATGCCAGGCAACATGCCAGGCAACATCCCAGGCAACATCCCAGGAAACATCACAAGCAACATCCCAAGCAATATCCCAGGCAACATCCCCCGTAACATCAGAGGCAACATCCCAGGCAACATCCCAGGCAGCATCCCAGGCAGCATCCCAGGCAATAACCGAGGCAACATCCGACGCAACATCCGAGGCAACATCCTAAGCAACAGCCCAGGCAACATCCCAGGCAACTTCCAAGGCAACATCCTAGGCAAACATCCCAGGAAATTTCCGAGGCAACATCCGAGACAACATCCCAAGAAACATCACAAGCAACATCCCAAGCAATATCTCAGGCAACATCCCCCGCAACATCAGAGGCAACATCCCAGGGAACATCCCAGGCAGCATCCCAGGCAATAACCGAGGCAACATCCTAGGCGACATCCGAGGCAACATCCTAAGCAACAGCCCAGGCAACATCCCAGGCAATATCCCAGGCAACATCCCTGGCAACATCCCAGGCAACATCCCAGGCAACATCCCAGGTTACATCCTAGAGAACATCACAGACAACATCCTAGGCAATATCCGAAGCAACATCACAGGCAACATCCTAGGCAATATCCGAAGCAACATCACAGGCAACATCCTAGGCTATATCCGAAGCAACATCACAGGCAACATCCGAGGCAACATCCCAGGCAATATCCCAGGCTACATACGAGACAACAACTGAGGCAACATCCAAGGCAACATCCCAGGCAATATCCGAAGCAACATCCCAATCAACATCCCAGGCAACATCCCAGGCATCATCCGAGGGAACATACCAGGCAACATCCTAAGCACCATCCCAGGCAACACCCCGGGCAACATCACAGGCAACATCCTAGACAACATCCCAGGAAACATCCTAGGCAACATCCCCCGCAACATCAGAGGGAACATCACAGGGAACATCCCAGGCAACAACCAAGGAAACATCAGAGGCAACATAAACGGCAATATCCGAGGCAACATCCGAGGCAACATCCTAAGAAACATCCCACGCAACATCAAAAGTAACATCCCAGGCAACACCCCAGGCAACATCCCAGGAAACATCCGAAGCAACATCCGAGACAACATCGAACGGCAACATCCCAAACAACATACCAGGAAACATCACAGACAACATCCCAGGCAACATCACAGGCAAAATCCCAGGTAATATCATAGGCAACATCCCAGGCAGCATCCCAGGCAACATCCCAAGCAACATCCCAGGCAACATCCCAGGCAACATCCCAAGCAACAACCGAGGTAACATCCCAGGCAACATCATAGGTAACATCCCAGGCAACATCCCAGGCAACATCCCAGGCAACATCCCAGGCAACATCCCAGGCAACATCCAAGGCAACATACCAGGCAACATCCTAGGCAACATCCCAAGCATCATTCCAGGCAACATCCCAGGCAACATCCCAGGCAACATCCCAAGCAACATCCGAGGCAACATCCGATGCAACATCCGATGCAACATCCCAGGCAACATCGAAAGCAACATCCCAGGCAACATCCTAGACAACATCCCAGGCATCATCCCAGGCAACATCCCAGGCAACATCCCAGGCAACATGCGATGAAACATCCCAGGCAACATCCAAGGCAACATCCAAGGCAACATGCCAGGCAACGTCAGAGGCAACATCCCAGGCAACTTCCCAGGCTACATCCCAGGCAACATCCCAGGCAACATCCCAAGCAACATCCCAGGCAACATCCCAAGCAACATCCGAGGCAACATCCCATGCAACATCCCATGCAACATCACAGGAAACATCCCATTCAACATTTCAGTCAACATCCCACCCAAAATCCCAGGCAACATCCCCGGGAACATCCGAGGCAATATCCCAGGCAACATAGGTAACATCCGGGGCAACATCCGAGGCAACATCCGATGCAACATCCCATGCAACATCCGAGGCAACATTCCAATCAACATCCGAGGCAATATCCGAAGGCATTATCCCATGCAACTTCCCAAGCAACATCCCAGGCAACATCCCAGGCAACATCCCAGGCAACATCCCAGGCAACATGCGATGCAACATCCTGGGCATTATCCCAGGCAACATCCCAGGCTACATCCCAGGCAACATCCGAAGCAACATCCGAGGCAACATCCCAAGCAACATCTGAGGCAACATCCCAGATAACATCCGAGGCAACATCCCATGCAACATCCCAGGCTCCTCTCTGTATATTCACATTGTTATACACACCTATCAGTGTATATACACAAGGATATTCACAGCTCTCAGTGAATACATCCTGGGAACGTAGGAGATACACACCTCTGAGTGTATATATCCCAGGTACGTGGGAGATACACACCACTCAGTGTATATATCCCAGGTACGTGGGAGATACACACCACTCAGTGTATATATCCCAGGTACGAGGGAGATACCACCTCTGAGTGTATAATCCGGGGAGGCGTGTATACCTCTAGCCCCCGGGGGGGCCCCCCCCAAAAAGGGGGGGGCCCCCCCCGGGGAAAACCCGGTAGGGGGAAAAAAAACCCCCCCAAGGGGGAACCCCCCCTTTTTTTAAAAAAAATTTTTTTGGGGGGCCCCCCCGGGTTTTTTGGGTTTTTTTTTTTTTAAAAAAAAAACCAACCCTTTTAAAAAAACCCCAAAAAGGGGGGGGGGGAAAAAAAAAGGGGTTTTTTTTTGGGGGGGAAAATTTTTTAAAAACCCGGGGGGAAAACCCCCAAAAAAAAAATTTTTTTAAATTTTAAAAAACCCCTCGGGGGGGGGGGCCCCGGGGGGGGAAAAAAAAAAAAAAGGGGGGGGGAAAAGGGGGGTTTTAAAAAAAAAAACCCCTGGGGGAAAAAAAAACCCGGGGGAAAAACCCCCTTTTTTCCCCCCCCAGGGGGGAGAAAAATTTTGGGGGGGGCCCCCCGGGTTTTTAAAAAAAAACCCCGGGGGGGGGAAAACCCCTTTTTTAAAAAAAAAAAAAAATTTTTTTTTTTAAAAAAAAAAACCCCCCCCCCTTTTTTTTTCCCAAAAAAACCCCCCCCCTTTAAAAAAAAAATTTTTTTTGGGGGTTTTATAAAATTTTTTTTTTAAAAAAAATTTTTTTTAAATTGGGGGGAAATTTTTTTTTTTTAAAAAAAAGGGGAAATTTTAATTTTTTTTAAAGGGGAAAAAAAAAACCCCCCCCCCCCCCCTTTTTTTTTTAAAAACCCCCCGGAATTAAAAAGGGGTTAAACCCCCTTTTTGGGGGAAAAATTTAATTTTTTTCCCCGGGGTTTTTTTTTTTTTTAAAATTTTTTTAAAAAAGGGGAAAAATTTTCCCCCTTGGGGGGGGGAAACCCCCGGGGGGTTTTTTTTTTTTTGGGGTTTTTTAAATTTAAAAAAAAAGGGGGGAATTTTTTAAAGGGGGGGCCCTTTTTTTTTCCCCCGGGGGGGTTCCCGGGGGCCCCGGGGGGGAAAAAAAGGGTTTTCCCCCCCGGGGGGGGCCCCCCAAAAACCCAGGTAGGGGGGCCCGGTTTTTTTTGGGGGGGAAACCCCCCGGGGTTATTTTCCCTTGGGAAAAAAATTTTTTTTTTTAAAAAAAAAAAAAAATTTTTAAACCCCCGGAAAAGGGGGCCCCCCTTTAAAATTTAAACCCGGGGGAAAAACCCCCCCTTGGGTTTTTAACCCGGGGGGGGGAAAAAAAAGGGGGGGGGTTTTTTTTTTTTTGGGGGGGGGGTTTTCCCCCCTTTGTTAAACCCCCCGGGTTTTTTTTTGGGGGGGGGAAAAACCCCCCGGGTTTTTTGGGGGGGGGAATTTTCCCCTTTGGGGGAAAAACCCCCCGGGGAAAAAAGGGGGGTTTTTTAAAAAATTTCCCTTTTTTTAAAAATTTTCCCCCCCCCGGGGGGGAAACCCCCTTTTTTGGGGGGGGGGGAAAAACCCCCTTTTTTTTTTTGGGGGGGGGGGGTTTTTTTTTTGGGGGTTTTTTTAAACCCCCGGTTTTTCCCCTTTTTTCCCCCGGAAAAAAAGGGGGGAAAAAAACCCTTTCGGGAAACCCCCCGGGGGGGGGGGTTTTTTTTTTTAATTTTAAAAAGGGGGGGAAAAATTTTTAAAAATTCCCGGGGAAAAATTCCCAAACCTTTGGGGGGGGCCCCCCCCCAAAAAAAAGGGGGTTTTTTAAAAACCCCAAAAAATTCCCCAAAAAAAAATTTTTTCCCCCCCGGTTTTTTGGGGGTTTTTTTTTTTTTGGGGGGGGGGAAAAAAACCCCCAAAAAACCCCAAAAATTTTAAATTTGGGAAATTTTTTTTTTTTCCCCCCCTTGGGGGAAAACCCCGGGTTTTAAAAACCCTTGGGGGGGGGGGAAAAAAAAAAAAGGGGGGAAAAAAGGGGGGGAAAAAACCCCCCAAAAAACCCCGGGAATTTCCCCCCCTTTTTTTTTTTGGGGGGGGGGGGTTTTTTTTTTTAAAAAAAAAAAAATTTTTTTTTAAAAAAAAATTCCCAAAAAAAAAAATTTTTTTAAAAACCCCCCGGGGGGAAAAAAAACCCCCCAAAAAAAACCCCCCCAAAAAACCCCCGGGGAAAAAATTCCCCCAAAAATTTTTTTTTTCCCCGGGGAAAAAAAAAAAATTTTTTTTAAACCCCCGGGAATTAAATTTTTTTTTAAATTGGGGGGGCCCCCCTTTTTTCCCCCCCCGGGGAAAAAAAAGGGGAAATTTGGGGGGTTTAAAAAAAGGGGGGGGGGGGGGGGGGGGGAAAACCCAAAAAAAGGTAAAAACCCTTGGGGGGGGAAAAAAAAAAATTTCCGGGGGGGGGGGGAAAAAAAAAAAAACCCAAAAATTTTTTTTTAAAAAAATTGGGAAATTTAAGGGGGGGAGACCCCCAAAAAAAGGGGGGGCCCCCGGGTTAAAA